AAATAGCTCTTTTATATATTTTTTTAAGGTGGCTTAACAAGATGATATATGGAAAAGGTTTTTAAAAATTTAATCTTTATTGTATTTTTTTCCCCATTAGTCCCCTTAAACCCCTCTACTCACTCTTTTTATATGTCAAAGCCATATGTGAGTATACCTTAGCTTCCTTATCTGTGAATATGATAATAACGGCACTTTCCTCACAGGGATTCCTTGAGTTCATTAATACAGACAGTACTTAAGTGCAATGAATGTTTGTGATTATTAAAGCAGAAATAAACTTTAAAGAACAAATGCATAATTAATGACTGCAATTAACAGTCCTCCTTCTCAGTGGATATGAGCCAGGTTCAACCAACAACTACAGAGTAAAAGCTTATCTGCCATAACTACCTTGGAAGGAGCGGCCTCTGTTTCCTTGCTCTTTCCAGAGTTCTCCCACAGCCTCTTAGAAGGGGCCCTAATACTTGTGCATAATCATGATTTTATTGTAAATTAATAAAATCCTTTGTCTCAAGTAAAATTTTTTCAAAGAATAAAGATTCATGAGGCTCTGGGACCTGCAAGGGGAGACTGACTGAAAAAGGGCACAAGAGAACTTTCTAGAGAGATGGAAATTTCTATCTGGACTAGGACAGTGATTCAAGGCTGTATGTGTTCCAAAAATCCCTTGAAATGTGTGAAATTTATTATATGCAAATTATACTTCAACAAAGAGTGAAGAAATGAGATCGGAAGAAGGACAATTCACAGAAAAATGGATATTTATATTCCAAAGAAGGGACAAACAGATTTGTATGAAAGAATTTGCCTCAACATTTTCAATTTCCAAAATCATCTCTTTGATGGGATGAGGCTAGTTGACAATGTAAAAGAGCTTCCTTTTGCAAGAAACATTTTAAAAATTTACCCTTATTATCCTATGTTTAAAGAACAGCACTTTCTATCCCAAGTTTCACTGGACAAGCTGCCCTCTTGTGGCTTTGATATATATCCCCTGAACCCAAAAGCAGGCAGTTATTAAGCTAATCGGGTAGCAATCCTGGCCTGCCCACAAATATTTCTCAAGGTAACTGAGCCGGGGCCACTTTCACACAAGAGAGCGCACGGGCCATTACGGGCTGTGTCACAGCTGAGCTTTAAATAACTTAAGAAAACAGGGTTCCCACAAAATACGTGAGGTTTGAGGTAGATGAATTCAAAAGACACTTTATCTCAATTTAAATTGTTGGTTAATTTAATTATCAATTTTATTGAATTTATTGGGGTGACAATCGTTAATAAAACCATACAGGTGTCAAGTGTGCAACCCAATAAAATATCATCTGCTCCCTGCACGATGTGCTCACCACCCAAAGTCAAGTCTCTTTCCGTCCCCACTTATGTTCTCTTTACCCACTTCCACCTCCCCCCACCCCTTTTTCCCTCTGGTTATCACCATACTGTTCTCCATGTCTGGGGGGGTGGGGGGAGAGAGAGAAAGAGAGAAAGAGAGAGAGAGAGAGAGAGAGAGAGTGTGTGTGTGTGTGTGTGTGTGTGTGTATCCCCCCCCTTTCTTAATCCCCTGACCTTTTTCCACCCAGCCCCCCAATGCCCCTCCCCTTTGGCAGCTGTCAGTCTGTTCTATGTATGTTTGCTTCTGTTTTCATTTTCTTTGTTAAATTATTTCGTTGATTGGATTCCACATATAAGTCAGATCATATGGTATTTGTCATTCTCTGACTGACTGACTTCACTTAGCACAAACTGAAAGCTTTTACACTGCAAAAGAAACCATCGAGGAAATGAAAAGGCAACCCAATGCATGGGAGAACATATTCACTAATGATACATTTGATGAGGGATTAATTTCCGTAATTAATGTAAAAAGACCTTATACAACTCAATGCTAAGAAGACAAAAAACCCAATTAAAAAATGGGCAAAGGATCTGAATAGACACTTCTCTAAATTGGACATACAGATGGACAATAGACATATGAAAAGATGCTCAATGTCACTAATCATCAAAGAGGTACAAATTCAAACCACAATGAGATATCGCCTCATGCCTGTCAGAATGGTCATCATTGATAAATCAACAAACAAGTGAGGATGTGAAGAAAAGGGAACCCTCAAGCACTGCTGGTGGGAATGCAGACTGGTGCAGCTGCTCTGGAAAACAGTATGGAGTTTCCTTACAAAATTAAAAATGGAACTACCTTTTGATCCAGTGATCCCACTTCTGGGAATATATCTGAAGAAACCCAAAACACTAATTCAAAAGAAAATATGCACCTCTATGTTGATCACAGCATTATTTACAATACCAAGATCCGGAAACAGCCCAAGTGTCTATCAGCAGATGAATGTGTTAAAATAGCTGTAGTACATTTATACAATGGAGTACTACGCAGCAGTAAAAATGAAGGAAATCTTACCTTTTGCGACAGCATAGACGGACCTGGAAATTGTTGGTTAATTTTAACGTACTATAGTGCACACTTTCACTTTTGCAACACAGAATCTGCATTATCACAAGAAAGCATATGTCTCCAACAGGGTGAGTGCAAAGAAAACAACTGAAAGTTTCAATTCTACGATCTGTGAATACAATTAAAAATTCCCAAGATATTTTTGCACAGAGAAAGAAAACAACAACAACCAAGCAAACACAACCCAAAACACTGGGTTTTATTAACATTGGCACATGGGGAATCTAGGTATCTTGTCAAACATCAAGCATTTGTTTAATAAAATAAAAAAAAAGAAGGACTGAAGGAGGGAAAAAGGAAGCAGACAAGAAGGAAAGGATGAAAGGGAGGATCAAATAGCTTATCATTCAAAAGTTGCACTAAAAAGGAAGATAAAAGATGGCAGATAAAAGCATTAACTCAAAAAACAGCAACACTTTCTCTTTAGAAGACAATGTCTTCATACAAAGCCTTTTGTAAAAGAAATATACAGGGAAAATATAAAAATACAGATTAAAAATTTGCTGTATTTCAACTGTTGAAATGTTAAAAATTCACCTAGTCCAGATCAGTAGTATGAGGCTGGACTAATTTAACTTACACCCAGAACCGCACACACTCCTGATAAATGACTGCCCAATCCACATTCTAGTAGAGTAATCTTTCTTTTTAAATCAAGTCATGCCACTTCTCTTCGCAGAACTCTCCAATGTCTTCTTCTCACACTTGGAATACAATCCAAAATCCTTCCCAGGACTCCCTCCAGAAGCCTGCGTGGTTCTCTCTGCTTCATGCCCTGCCTCCCTCCGCCTCCCCCAGACTCCCGCATTCCCTCTGGGCACACCACCAGCATCCTGGCTGTTCCTCCAAAGCCAGCTCTTTCTCACCTCCCACCTTCAGCAAGCACAGTTCTGGCCTGGAATTTCCTTTCCTAGCCACAGGGCTCTGCCCCTCCCCCACCCTTCCTGCTGCCCCCACTGGATTCAGCTCTTTACTCTAATATCACCTCCAAGAAGTCTTACTTGGCCATTCTTTGAAAACAAGCATCCAATCACTAGCTTTGCACTCTCTCTCCTCATCCCTGTATTTTTCGTCTTTGCATTTATTAGTTTCTGAAATTATGTTATCTATTCATTTTTATCACTTTCTATTATCTCTCTGCCCCACTGGAATGTGAGATCCATGAGAGAAGGGGCTTTTTCTCCTAAAAACAGAGCCCAACACTAGGCAGTATTCATTACTTGAGAAATAAAATAATCCCACCTTGGGAGATGATAAACCCTAATAAAATACGTTCGGATGTTCTATTACTATCAACAAGTCCTTCCTCCGATCCACCTCGAGTCTTTCCTATTGCAACAAGAGCCCATAATCTTTACTTGAATGCCAGAGTGATAGACAGTGGTTGGCCAACATGCTCTGTTAAGTAATTTTTAGAACCACACACTTTTGAAGGTAAAATGGGGCCTTAGTTATAACCTACTGCAGGCCTTTTGTTTTGAAGATAAGAAAACAGGCTCAGAGAAGTTGGCTGGTACCTCCAGGCAAACACAGAAATAGCAAACATCAGCTAATGCCAGACCACTTAAAGGGTGTACAGTGCCTGCCTCGTTTATCTTTATAATCCCCGGACCCAGCACGGAACCCGGCACAAAGAATGAACTCAGCACAAGTGCGCCCAGTAAACAACTGGCCTCCCTGCTGCTCGAAGTGCTCATTCTACTGAGCTGCACTTCCTCTCTTTACTGTCTCAACTGTAACTTCCCTATCCGAGGACCATTTCCAGGTACTTGTGTCATGGGTCATTGTTTCCTGTCCTCTCTCCTTTTAATGTGCAATTTGACAACGTATAAAGCAAAACAGTATTATTTGGGAGCTGGTTTGAGTCCAACATAATTCTCATAGCCTGCCTTGGAAATATTAAGGAAAAAGTGGAAAATACAAAGCAAACTAAAAAAAAGGGGGGGAGAGGGAGACAAAAAGCTGGCAGCGTACCCAGGCGCCGGGTGCTGTGACTATACTACAAGCTGGGAGCCCTGGCCGGGTCCTATTTGTCTCCTTGCAGCACCCAGCAGCGCGCCCAGCACAGAGTCAGGGCCCACTTGTTGGGAGAAAGAAGAGAAGAAAATGGCAGTGCAGATTCGGTTTATACGCAGCCTATCGCTGTTCAGTAGTAAGAGTAGCGTTATTTTACGATAACAGCTTACACATGCACAGGGCCTTCCGTTTTCAGCACTTTAAATACACCTCCTCATCGAATCCTCCCAAGACAAGCACCTCACCTGTGAGAGAGCCACTACAACTCTGAAAAGCCAAGTCACCTCCAGAAATCAATGAGCAGTCAAATCTGGACTCCAGTCTCTAATGCAACTCTGCAGACTTCCTTTTTTCCAGTGTGTCTGCATACCCACATACTCTGATACAGAAATAGTGATATGTTTGGATAGGGGACGTCGCTCCAGACACGGCTAGTGGTATTAAGCAATGTGGAGTGTATGCAACATATTATCTCTCTAAAATCTGAAATATTCTGGATTCCAAAGCACACCTGACTCAACGGGCTCCAGGCGAGGATGTCTCAGATTTACCTGAACTCAGAGAAGCAACCTGTCCAAAGTCACACACGCAGGCAGCGGCAAGGCTGGGGCTGCAATGCAGGCAGTCCGATGCTGCAGGGGTGCTTCGGGCGCAGAATCCTGCCTCTCCAATCGATGATGTCGGTGTGACCTGAAAAACAATGACTGCCTCAAATCTTTTTCTGATGTGGCTCCGGGAAATAAGATCCAGTGAGGTGAATGGCTGGGGCGGACTTGGGTCGTCACCCATGAAGACTGATTAGGATTACCAATGACCTCAGCTCAACGAGGGCTCAAGGATAGCAACCCGAGCACAGTGGACTTTCTCGGGGGTCATGGCCACATGCAGGAAAGAGGGCATGCAAGGCTTTTGGTAACCAAAACACGCACGTCCCTGAAAGCCTCCCCTGGAGGCCCCGGGAAACGCTGAGGCAAACGTGCTACGGATCTGGGACGATCTTCCCACATTCTTTGACATACCCTACGAAGTGGGAGGGGAGAGCGGCAGGTGGGGTAGGAGACTGGGTAAGTGGAAGGGGGGTGTGTTTGTGGATGCATGGAAGGCCATGCTCTTTGCAATCTGACGTCCAGCATGCAGGGCAAAGATAATTGTCTTCTGGCCTTTATTTCTATCGCCTCAACTAATTAACTGTGGAAATAAAAGATGCTAGTTCATTTGGCCCAGCAGTGTTCCTACTTCACCAAGTACCTGGGATGGACTCCCTTCTTCAGATCTCAGTTTAAATGCTACTTGGTGAAGTAGCTACTCAGGGGGGCCTTCCCAACACCCCCAATTAAATCGCGTCCCCCTTTCCCACCTGCTGGTGTAAGCCTCCTCTCGTAGCGCCCGTTGTGATCGGTGCTTAAATGCTTGTGAGTGCCTTTGTTCGCTGTCTGGCTGTCCCCACCAGACTGTGATCTCAAGGACGCCAGGCCCCTTGTCTGTTTGCTCATCTCGGTATCCCCAGGACCTGACACATCTTAGTAGCTCCATAAATATTTGCTGAATGAAGGAAGGAATGAATGAGGCTTGAGTTTCACAACAGAAAACCAGGCACTGGCAGCACCTCACCAGCAGGCACTCACGAGGTCTTCGCCCACCTCTGAACTGGGAAAGCCATATTGCCTGGGCAATTCTATTTGGTAATTCATCATATGCTGCCCAGTGATGTGTCATCTCTACAGTTTTCGGTGGTTACTTCCCTCTATCATTCTTAGTATTTACCTTTTAACCTGTTTAGATCTTGTCTTCCCAACTAGACTAAGAGCACAGTGAGTATAAGTCATACTGTCCTGAATTCCCCAAAGCCTCCCTGACCAGTGTTTGGCATCTACACCTTTATGTAGTTTTCTCAGTGCTCAAAACAGGTACTATTGCAGGCAGGGGGCAAGCAAAGCCCCACAATGCAGGATAGCGGCAAATGAGGAAATCTGAGGCGCGCACTGGGGACTTTTGTCTAAAACTTTAAAAAAATGAGTTGAGTGCCCAGGAAGAAAGACTGAGTGTAAAATATAAAACAGAGGTTCTAATTCTGTTCATGTGAGTGACCGACACAGGACAGAGAAAATTGTAATTCAGCAAAGTTCTTTCTCAGCCACATGAACTATCCCTCCCGCCATTCTGCAGGTCCCGCCCAAACCGGGAAGGCTCTCGGTGGTGCAGAAGTAGGATTTTTGTTGCTTTGCCAAGGCAGGCCCTTTATTACAAGGTAGAAAGAACACTTGTTCCTGGTTTCTCAATCCCTCATTCCTGCTGGCAGCACGAAGTATGTCCAGCCCTGACTCTCGAGCCCAACAAATCACAAATGAAATAGGTAACTCGGTATTCTTTCAAATCTATATATTTCAGACAGTGTTTTATGTTCACTTTTTTTGGCCAAATTACTTACGATAAATGGTAATGAATTAGCAAGCAGGTCTGTAAATCATTCACCTGTAGCCAGGCACTCACTTTCCCTGTTCTCATTTTCTGCCCTGACCCACACAGAAGCACAACAGTTAAAAACCAGACTAGTCAGCTGAAATGCTGTTGTCGACACACAGCCCAACCACTCAGACTTCTCACAACTGTTAGGAATGTCCTAACGTGGCCGGGGTTGCTGACAGTTTGAGGTTTCGCCCACATCCCTGCAGAATCTGAATCCACTCCATGGAAAGCGCAGAAGCCCCTCATAGGCTCTAAGCACTCACCAAGGTCCGCCTTTAAAATGCGAGGGTGCAGATATCACGAGTTGCGCTCACCTGCACAGTCCCCAAGGCGCAGGGGTTCCAGGGGAGAGAGATCTCGGTGGCCGGCACTCCCTTCCCACCCTCAGATGACCGAGAGAGCGCAGCAGATTCTTTGCAGGTGGGGAAATTAAAGTGCAGGATAGTGTCAAATGAGAAAATCATTTCTGTTACAAACTTAATTGGAGCTCACAATTGAAGCGATTCCTCGATTCCTCGGGAGGAGTGACAGGTGCCCTGGCTCTCCCAGCCCCACCCCTGCCCCGAGTGCCACACTTCGGTCACTGGTCAGCCTGAGCAGCCAGGAGGTGGTGGTCCCACCTGCGCCTCGACCCTCCCCTATCTCCCCATGCATCTCAAGGCTTAATATAGTCTCTGCAGTGTATTGACCTATGTTCTCTTAGACTGCTCACCACCATAACAAATCACAAGTTGATGCTGTCCCTTTTTCTTTCATTATTTGCCATGTCTTTCATACCGGTTAAGTGCCAGACACTATTAAAACAGACCATGTGTCTGGTTTTAATCCTGCCAACAACCAGACAAGGTGGGAACGGTGAAGCCCATTTTCAATGAAGAAAACTGAAGCTTGGGGAGAATGTCATATTAAAAAAAAAAATAGTAATAAAAATAAAATTAAAAAAGGCTTCTAAGAGGTAGGCTGAGACTCAAACCTCAGTTTTTCTGGCATTATTCAACTGTCTTAAAATAAGAGATCCTTCCTCTAGAGGTCAGAAGGCATTTGTCATTCATCCACCCATCCAACCAGTAACACTTCTTAGAGGTCCACAATGCATGGTCCTCTCTTTTATATAACTTAAAACCTGTTTCTTACACTCTTGAATACACCAAATTTTACACTTTATCATATCTCAAATAACCAATGTGTATATTTACTCATTTTAAAGGCTAATATTAAATCATTAAATTGATTGCCTATTTTACAATCTGTAATCAGATGACCACCCAGGGAAGCCCCTTGAGATATCTTCAAGATCCACAAGATTGAAAGATATGCAAAGTCCATAGAAAAAGAACACCTGCTCTGCCTGGCTCCAAGACTGTAAGATTAATGTGATGAAAGGAAAAAATGTGACTATCAGAAGGCGGGGCAGTCCTCCTCTGGAAGCCTGGGAAAGGCTGCGCAGGTAGAAGATGGCTGTGCAGCCTGGAACACAGCTGGGGGAGGAGCTTTTGAAGTCACTGTACTTCAGATGGAAGACAAGATCCGTCTACTGTGAAACAGGCTGGGGTAATACCAGGCCGAGGAGGCAGGCACTATTAAATTTTAGATCCCTCTCCCCTCAGCTCTCATTGCAGGCTCACCCCAGTGGTCTTCTGAATATGATTTGCCACTCCCCGTCGACCCAAGGTTGAAAGGGAAGGTGCTTATTTCCCAGAACATTCAACAGTCTACAAACATTGAGGGAGGGCCTGCTCCGGGCCATCGTGCAAGATGTTCCCCCAGACCGTCTGTCTCTGGGCCGTACAGTAGGGGGGTGCATCCCCACAGCGCCCCTCAGGGAGCCGCTCGTCTGCAAGTGGGGCATCCCTGCACTGCGGCAGCGTCTCTCAAGCTTGCTCCATCACCTGGAGAGCTGGTTAAACGTCAGACTCCTGGGCCTTGCCTTGCAGCTTCTGCATCAGCACCAGCGAAGGAAGGGTCTGGAAATCTCTCGTTTTGAACAGTGTCCCAGTAATTCTACTCATCAGGCAAGTCTGTCAGCCACAGTTCTCCAGCAACGGACTTAGCCTGCCGTGGGGGTGGGCCCAGTAAGAGGCAATAATATTCGGTGCAATGTGATAAACTCGGGGATTTGGAGTTTTTAAAAAACGTTCTGAGAATCGTACAACAGCTTTTATTTTCAAATCGAGGCCCTTTTCCCGCATTCCTTTGCTCAAAATCCTACTTAGTTAAGTCCCAGAAATTTAGATCCTGTCCCACTGAAATCCCATATGACATAATATTCAGATCAGTTAATGCTAGGTAGGCCAAACTGATGTTAACAGTCTGAATGCTAACAAAACCCTTCGTTCAAGACGTTCAGCAAAGGAGCACTCAGTGCTTTTTTCAACAGCCTGGGCGTTCCCTTTCCAAGCCAAAGCCTACAGAAGATTTTAGGTGCACAAAACTTTGTTCCTTACAGTAGATAACATACACACGTATACATGACTTGTCCACAAAATGGCTTTAGGACTAATCCCTTGAAAGTAAAACTTATTTCACTGATATTATGTTTCTTCATGCTGAGTAGTATTGGTTCACTATATAGGACTGCTCAGAAACAATGTTATTCTTCAAAGAGACAACATCGATAAAGAACTTACTCCAGGGGGTGGGAGTCCTATGTGGTGGGTGTGAAAACTTCAAACGCCACATCCCAAAGAGAGGTAAGTTCAACACTAAGGCAGCATAAGTGGAAAGTTAAAAATTATCCAAAGTAAATGAATCCGTGTGTTACATTAGATTGACATTCTTTCGGCCCTGCTAAATCAGAAGCACATCTTAGTGTGGTTACTGACCTCTGGATTGTTCACTCAATTAGGCGGGCTCCAAATGAATCCTTTTTGCTTCATAAATAACATTTAGGTAATGAACACTTTGATGTTCTGTGGTGCTTTTCTTTTCATTTTTAAAAAATAATTAAGTGGCTATAAAAGCTATAAAATGCTCTCCAAACTTTGTGGCTATGTGGTAATTATCCTGCAGGACCGCCAGAGGCCAAATTCTCAAAACAGTGAAAAACCTTAGATATCTACCAGCTGATACAGATAGGAAAACAGATTCAGATAGGTGACTTGCTCAAGGTCACACCACAGGTCAGTGCGACCCAGACGTGAGGCCTCTCCCACTGCATGTATCCAGCTGGCAAAACCTGGTGGACTCACCCACATACTAACCTCCCACCTGGTCTATTCTTTGGG